ACCTTTAGGTAAAATTGTTGATATACCTACGGAATTATCTCAAAGTCTTTACAAAGAGATACCGACATCATTAATATGTATCTTCTGTTAATATATAAATAAATAGATTTTATGCGGGCTCCTCTCAGCAGATAACAACTTTTCGAAGCCTGCAGTAAATAAAAAAAAATACGATTTAAATGTAAACAAGTGTATTTGAATAAAGATTATTTGAATTTGATTTAGTAGCGATATCATCCGCATAACTGGGATAAAATATGTTGGTTGAATGGATAAAAGAAGCCTAGAATGAAATTTAAACGTGTAGGAGTTATTCAGTAAAATATATTAGATTCTAATCTAAAATTACTTATATCGGCTAATAATAATCTAATATTTATTTTAGTACTTCAAGTACAGTAAGTTTATCGACGATTTCATAGGCCATAGATAATCCAAACAAATCAATAAACATTGAAAGCTATTAAAAAGGAAAAAAAAGATTAATATTGGATTATTGAATACACAAACCGATATTAAGTAAATACTCACAACAATAGCATTATTTTTACAGCATTATATACACAGCTGATAGCTGAGTATATCCATGCGCCTGTGATATGGCATTTCGTCAGGACGATGATTAAAACTCAAAATAACCGTGCCCGCTGTCTCATGTTGCTGTCCTTACCGAATGCCACTTAGGTATATGATTTATTAAATTAAAACATTTTTTACTAACGTAATTTTGAATCTGCTACTAATAAAATAGATCTTGTTATTATTTTTATTGTTATTAAATGGGATGGGGGGGGGGGGAAGAGATTGTTACCATTCCATTTTCACCCATCAAAAAAAAAACAGAATGGGATAGGTATTTATTAGGTTAAAAACTACTCACACAGTATATTACTCGTACAGATTGTACGAGTAGCTGTCCACTACTGTTTACTAATTAATACGACAGTTAACATACATATCGATGTTATTTTTTTATAATTCGTAATACATATGAGTATAGTCCTTACTAATATTATAAATGTGAAAGTGAGTTTGTTTATTTATTACCTCTTGATGCTTTAAAACTCGAGTACATAATCGTCACGAAATTAAATAAACATGTAGTATTCCCTTATTCATAAACATTAAAACAGCTTACAAACCTAATTTAACTATTACACTATTTTGCCACTTTCTTTCATTTGAGAATTTAGCGTAAAAGAAAGAGACAAAACAGTTCAATAACTAAAATAGGTTTTTTTTTAATGGATGATAATGGAATAGTAACTCCGCCTGCGCTAACGGTATACACGGGTGGGGCATCAGTGAGGGATGATAGGTGAGAATGGAAGCAGGTCAGTTGGCCCATAGTGATGAATTCATAAAAAACAATCAAGATGGTTTCCATGGGGAACCGCGTGTAGGTCGACTTGATAAGGTATATTGTTAGTTAATGGGGCCTCTAGTCCCATTACTAATAATTCCTTTCCCCCCATTAAAATAGGTTTATCTCTATTAATGTTTGAAGTTTTTATGAATAAGGGGGTGTATATTTAAGATGGAGAAAGACAAACGCCCTTTATCCCGGTCACGCGGACGAAACCGCGGGTTAAAACTTACTAGTTGTATTACTATACATAATGAATATTTTATGGTATGATATGACATAAGTCACACTGTTTGGACATTTTCACATGATTTGTAATTGGGTGAAATAACAAATTTGTATAGTGAAAGCGAAAGTGGCATAAAATTATGTTAAATTAATATACGTATTTAATTAGTAGACAATATTTTTAGGATTCTCTAAGCAAACGGCTAAAACGGAAATTTTATAATTAGGTTACGTTTCTTCTTATTATAACATTTTAACCGAGTACGTTAAAGATAAATTCTTCAATTTATTTGATTGTATGTTACACGATAAAAAAACATTCTAATTAAATTATTGTTAAAGTTTAAGTTTATTATTATAAATAAATTATTTACATCATTTGTCACAGAAAAATGTAAACATTATTATAAATTTATAATAAATGGGACTTCCAAACAACAAACTTTTATCAATCATGAGATATTTTTAGTAAAGGAGGATAAAAACATTTTTGGAGAATTTTGGTTGGAGAATGTAATGTTTTAATGTGGTAGTTATTTCAATCAATAAGTCCTAATATGCAGACTAAACGTATCATTCAAATGCTAAATAATATTTTGCATTAATAATTAACATTTTGTTATTAAATATGACTAGATTCTGTTATTTTTTTTAAATAAGTAGATGAAATGAAAATGGTAATGCCCTTGCTCATTGGTTTACGCATCAATGGTGACATCAAATGACGAGAAAATTATAAAAGTTTTTTTTTTATACAACTTAGAATGGCAAACAAGCTTATGGCCCACCTGATGGAAAGTGGTAACCGTCGCCTATAGACATGAACAGTACCATGGATATAACAGAGTATACTGTTTCGCCCATGATACTCTCCATGCGTTGCTATTCCTGAGGACTCAGGGTCCTCTGTACCCTGTAAATTCACGCCATATACCACCCTTCAAACCGAAACACAGCCATGCAAACACAACTGCTGCTACGGTTGAAACACGAATGGGACAGAGGTACCTAAGCAATCGACTTTTGTAGTATAAATATAATATATAAATATGTATATGTATATATGTAATGAAAAGTATATGTCATTTGGTGTATTATGAAGTTATTCATCTGGAATTAATAATGCTGATTTTCAAGAGGACCGCATAAAGGTCGATTCGTTAGGGTATATTGCTAACAATGAAGCCTATACTCCAACCCTTCTAGTTTCTAGGCATTAGGCAGATTTACTTGTTAGTCTCTTGTTTTATCTATAGTTAGTTACATACAGTAACTGTAAATAATCTATTCTATTATAGGTATATAGATTATTGTCAAAATGTGATTCTTCAAACACAATACATTTACAACATGTTCTATTGTATATACTAGATTCAATGAGTGTCATACATATTGCATTTGTTCGCCTAATTAGACATGCATAGAAAGTAGCAGTCGGAAATTATATTAAATTAATGCAATATTTAACATAAATTCCCATTCGTGTTTCTACTGTGAAGCAGTTGTGTTAGCATGGCTGTGTTTTGGTTTGAAGGGTGTGATATGGCAGTGAATTTACAGGGCACATAGGACCTGAGTCCTCAGAAATGGTAACGCATGGGGGAGGGGTATTATGGGCGAAACAATATACTCTATTATATCCATGGTACTGCTCATGTCTATAGGCGACGGTTACCACTTTCCATCAGGTGAGCCGTCAGCTTGTTTGCTATTCTAAGTTGCATAATAAAAAAGGTAAAAATTGATAAAAGCAAGTTATTTTCTTACTATTACACGAAAACTAGGACGATGTTACTGAGTAGCTAAATTTCGGAGCATTTTTCAATTTTCAAGAACAAACTTAATTATACAGTTCAGTTTTTAACAACAATTATGGAATACAGTAACGAAATTCTATTCGTAATCACTCTAAAATAATTCATAGGTCTCTATTTCATATAATTACAAATATAATACTAATTTATGGTATATTTAAAAACAATATAAATATATTTTAATTAATGTTTTTTTATTATTTTATGTATGGAATTCTCGGTTTCTGAAATCAATTCGTACTTGACTATTAATTTTAATCAATAGAATTTAGTCCCGTATAGTACTGATATAGCTGTTTTTTTTTATGAAATAAAATTAAAATATACATTATATTAAATATGAAAATTTTAATAAGTCTGTTTATTACCTCTTGATGCCTTAACGGCTTGACCATTTATTGTGAAATCAGCGGGTCTACCATGAAATGAAATTCCGAAATTTCGGACTCAATTTCGTGTTTTTGTCTATACCAAAATCGGACCAATAAATGGAGTTTAAACATTTCGTTCGTCATACATCCTATCATAAAAGTCCAAAGGAATAATATTTTAACATTTTAAATATTTAATATTCCAAACATGCCGTATTATATAATTTTAACATCAAATTTATGTTTCGTTTGGCTCCGAAATTTCAGAAAACATTTCATGGTATACACACGGTATTTGGAATAAAATATTAGTTTTTACCCGCGACTTCGTCGGCATGACTGGAATATATTGATTGACGGGGATAAAAAATAGTTTGTCATTTTATTTAAATCCCAAATAATATATGTATATTTTCGTGTATAAATACTATATTAAATGTTGGCGTAAATGTAACCTAGTTGTTAAGTTTTATGGTTTAAACCTTACCGTTCCACATAGAACAAGGTTAGACTAAATACTTCAAGAACTATGTCATAAAGATTTAAATTTTCGAATAATATTATTGGAATGGTACAATTAAAAATGCCATGTATAAAAAATAGATTAAAAATATATAATCTAAACAAGTGGGTACTTTATCTAAATTTCCTACATTGGATTTCTTTTCTGAAGATAGAATCCATAAGCGTTTATTTTTTTATTTATGTGGGTAGATCTACGTAATGAAGTCGTTATTAAATATACTGTATTAATATGGGTTGTTTAATTGAAGCTATTTACTTAATGTATATATACATATATAAACAAACCTATACAAATTCACATTGATAAATCTATATAGGTTTTTAGGCACGATGTAAATTATTTATATAAATAATTGAGATTTCTTAAGAAATATATATAAATAATAAATATATCAATCTTACTTTATACATTATGAAAGAGATAATCTATGAGACATGTTATGCAACAAATATATAATCTGTTTTATAATACTTGGCGTATTTCGTAAACAGTCTTGGTATATCTTTTATCAAAATATCAGTGCATAGAATAAATAAATACAATATATACGTTTTTCTATCATTTAACTACCGCCAGTCTTATATTTTCAAATACCCAAATGTATAAAAGACATACCAAGAGTAGGTATTTAGTAAAGGAGTAAGTATAATATTAACAGATTATATAGATAATAGTGAATAAGGCAGTAGACTCACGCGCAGAGAGAGAAGCTGAGTCACCGTGGGCATGTTGCGCGCACTCCGACGAGTGGTGGTAGAGTGGCGGCGTGGTGGTTGCGCGCACCTTGCCTGCCCTCGACTCACATTACCTAGAAGCGACGGAGTATTTAATTGTCTATTTTTAATTCAGTATTAAACAGAGTGGGCATTTCTTTTATTACTATCGTCTATACAGTCCTTTTAGATCTTCACTACTTGAATATCCCAGTAAAGTTTATTCTGTTTAATCCTTTTTTTCTAGTTATGAAACTTTTTTATAGAATTTGGACTGGCCAACAATATCGCAAACTCTCGGCATTCTGTAAATTTATTGTCATATATTCTTGCCTTAAAACTGACACACATGCACACAGTAGGATGCTTGGCAACAGAAACATGACTGGGACAGGAGTATCCAAGCAGACAAATCAAAGTGTGCCTCTGGTAAAATTAATAATATTAAATAGTTAATTATTTGATGATCAAGTAATTGACTGTTAGGTAATAATTTATGGGATAATTTTTCTGTTGTTAGTTAATAATGGTGCTGGAGAATTGAAAATGTTTACTTATTTAAAAAGAATGTTCTTTTTTGTTTTCAAAATTTTAGTCTTTAGCGCGATAATCGTAGATAAGCTTTTTAACAGTAGGTGTTTAGATTTTTGGTGGATTTTTATTTTGTATCCAATAAAGTGTTATTTGAATCTACTCATCAAAACTCAATAAATAGTTATTAGAAACAAAAAAAAATTTGCAGTGCTTCTTTCATTTGGTTAGACCAAATTTTGCAAAAATCAGGAATTTCAAGCGTGTTTAAATTTTATCGTTTTTAAAGAAAATTATAATTTCTTTTTTTATATTGTTGCGTAACGTACACATAAAAATACATCTGAATTGAGAATAACCTGTGTTTTTTTAAGATAAAAAAATACAATTTCTAAAATAAGGGCAAAATGAAAAATATAATAATTTTGAGAGAACAGAAGTGCATTATTTGGTATCACATCCAGTACTTAGCTATATTTACATCAATGAGCATGTCCTTGCTAGCGAATGCAACGACACCGTGCTTTGTCCCACTAAACTGATAAGCTTCTCGGTTATGGACTTAATTAGTCATATTTGGATAAAAGAACTTTTATGTGAGAATTTTATGTGCTTTATATTATTCAATTAACTCATATTTGGGGTTGTTGATAGTTTTGCTGTAATTACTCATAATTAGAAAATATGATCCTGGGATCTCTATATTTATATAATTATTGTATATAAATTTATTGTATAAATTAAAAGAAATAATTAAAAATAATTTTTGGATGACCACAGACGCAAAAAATAAAATTATGTCATCAACCTTCTACCAAAAACTTTTATATTACGAGTAACATAGAAGTTTTATATTTATAGAAGAAGAATACAAAAGACATAGTTTTATTATACGATCTTAATATGAGAATATTTAATATTATATCAAATGTGGATAATAGGTTATTGAACAAACAGTTTTTCATATATTAATAATTGATTTATTTCAGAATTTCTTAATTGATTTGGTGTAATTTTCCAAAAAAGCAATGTAAGAATTTTTTTTTAATCTATTAGAAGAAGAAAAAAATATTTTCACTTACACATAAAATAAGTATCTATTATGCAAATAATATTTAGTGCAGATACCTTTTTGTGAAGATTATCTCCAATATCTTCTATGGTTTTGTGAAGATCGAAATTAAGCTACACAAACTATGATGTTTTTTTTTTATTGGTAGAAAATAGAATGGTAACTCTGCCTTCGCTAACGGGATACGCTGGTGGAGCACCAGTGAAGAGTGATCGATGAGGATGAAAACAGGCCAGTTAGCCCATCATGATGAATTCATCTGGAATTAATCATGATAGTTTCCAGGGGGAACCGCGAGGAGGAGAGATCGATCTGGTTGGGTATATTGCTAGCAATTGGGTATAAGCTATGATAGATTACTCATAGAATCTTCTATAAACTAATATACCTTTTAGAATTCCCTTGTTTCTAAAAGTTTCTATATACCTGGTATATGAAATTCTAGAAGCCTCTAAGAGCTTAGTAGTCGATCATTATCCTCGTTGTTTTCCCATGTTTGAGGTTGGAACTATCTGTCTGTTAAATAGTAGTCATATTAAAATATTTATAAAATAATTTGAGTACAATACTACTCATAACGGGGGGAAAGGAATTGTTAGTAATGGGGTCTAACTGACCCATTGTCAGCAATACACCCTATCAGGCCGATCTCCCCTGGAAATAATTGTGGTAGTTCTAGTGGAATTCGTCACGGTGGGCTAACTGACCAGCTTTCATCGTCACTCATCATCGCTCACTGGTGTCCTGCCAGCGTATACCAATAGCGCAGGCGGGGTTGACATTCCGTTTTCACCCATTAAAAAAAATACTACTCATATCTGTATTAGCTTCAAATCTTTATTATTTCCTTATAAATATTTTGAATGTGAAAGTGAGTATTTTTATTATTTCTTAACTGCGCTGTAACGGCTTAACTTATTGCTATGAGATATTTTTTTTTATTGTATGAAAATGGAATGTTAACCCCGCCTGTGCTAACGGGATACGCTAGCGGGGCACCAGTGAAGGGTGATCGATGAGGATGAAAACAGGCCAGTTAGCCCATCATGATGAATTCATCTGGAATTAATCATGACAGTTTCCAGGGGGAACCGCGAGGAGGTCGACCTGGTTGGGTATATTGCTAGCAATGGGATTCTCAGTCTCCATTACTAACAATCCCTTTCCCTCCTTGCTATGAGATTTGGTACAGCTATACAAATTACATGGGATAGAAAAGGGCATAGGCTACTTTTACCCGGATCAATAAACATATCCCGTTTATGCGGACGAAGTCTCGTGTAAAGGCTAGTTGTTATTATAGTAATTTATAGCATTTTTATAATGTAGGCCCAGGAGTTTTTGATTGGAATCCTTACCTGCACTATCGGTATAGGTACATTGGTGGGACGGCAATGAGAGATGGTAAGTGAGGATGAAAGCAGGTTAGTTGTCTCATCGTGATGATTCTAATAAGAATTGACTATGATGGTTTCCAGGAGAACCGTGTCCACCTGACCATAACCAATATTACTTATAATGAGGCTTTTCGATCTTATTACTAATAATCTCTTTCCCCCTGTAGACTTAGGACTTTTATAGTATGAAAATAAAATGGTGTTCTCGCTTGCGTTATCGATATACGCTGACGGGGCACCACTGAAAGATGATAGGTGAGGGTGTAAGCAGGTAGTTGGCCCGTCATGACGAATTTGACCAGAATTAATCACGATTGTTTCCAGGTGGAACGACGTGGAGGTGACCTGATAACATACCCTATATTGTCGGCAATGGGGCTGTTAAACTCCATACCTAACAGTTACTTAGGTTTACGTACTCGACTGGAGTCGAAGTTACTTCAATATAAAAAAAAAATCACGCCATAATTCAAATTTTATTAAAATACGTTTAAAAATGAGTTTATAATTCAGTGAAAGAACTATCTATTATAACATATGTTAAATTCTTTGAAATACTAACTATAACAATTTCATCAGTTTAGATTCCTGCCATCTAGTGGAAAGTGATAGAATCTGCCGAAACAACATGCGCAGTAAGCAAGTAAGAAAGTAGGTCGAAATAGATGTTATGCTACGAGTATTGTCTTGAACATACTAGGCTTTATAATCTGTGTCTGCTGAGTGAATTGCTTCCATTAGATAATTATTTAAAATGTTGTATTATAGATGGCGCTGTTTGATTTATAGATTTAAAAAGAGCAGAAATAGGTACATTTTGAAATAGCATGTGTAATAATAATTTATTATCTATTACAAAAGGCAAGAACAATGGTATGGTGTAATTTTGTGCAATGGTAAGTAATAATTTTTGTTTGTGTAAATCTGGTGTCTATTACGGTCATCGGTTTCGTACTCGTAAATAATTAAAAATTAATGTTTTTTTTCACTAAAATGAACACTTAAAAATATAATTTTTGATAGAAATAGATTTGTTATTACAACCTGTTTCATTTATTGACTTCACAAATGCTTTGCAGAGCTCTTTCTGCAAAGGTGTTAAGTCAGATTAATTAAGGGTTAGGTAAATTAAGTATTTAAAAGTATCTAAAAGTTAAAGCAAAATCAAAAAATACTAAAAGACTTTTCAACAATTATAATTTTTTTATTCCTTTATTTCCTAATTGGAAGTAAAATGGATAGATAATGGGTTAAAAGCGACATTTAAATAGACCTTTGTCAGTAGTTACTACAGGGCAAAGTCTCTTTTGATCAACTAACAAGTTGTATTAAATTTCTTAGTCATGGCCGGTCATTTTAATGAAGTCAATATACTTAATAAGAGTTATAAATAGACGTTACATTTCGCTTGTATTTGACTTTAAATAAGACATTTACTTTGCATTGTATTATTGCAACAGATGGCCCTGTCGTAAAACAAACTAGCGGTAGCGCTATAAATTAATATGCGTGAATCAGATAGGTGTAATCGTTTGTACTTCAAGAAGGTAGATGTCATAAGTACTAGAGAATCAACGACGCAGTAAGTAGTAAAGTAGTCCTAGCAGGTTTTATTAAGTAAATGCTTATATACAATTATGAATAACCTATTTAATCGATATAGTTCTACCTCCATCGATAGTGCTGGCGGGGTTCCATATGGTAACTCCACCTGCGCTAACGGTATGCGATGGTGAGGCACCGAGCAGTAAGGAATGATAGGTGACAATGAAAAAGTACCTGCCTTTCCATTTTCGCCTATCATCCCTCAAGGTGTTCATCACGATGGGCTAGCTGACCTCAATTAGCTCTTCGTGATGAATACATTTGGATTGTAGCACTGTTCTTCCCAGGAGGGGCCACGTGGAGTTCGATCTGATAGGGTATATTGCTACCAATGCAACTGGAAATCTGTTACTAACAACAATAATAATAATAATAAACTCTTTATTGCGCACAATAGAGGTGAATACAAGGAGTATTTATACAGAATGTGCATATACAAAAGGCGGCCTTATCGCTAAAAGCAATCTCTTACAGACAACCTGGCATAAAGAATGGATAAGTACAGAGAGAAAGGTAGATGGCGCAAATCAGACACAGTAAATGCATAAAAGGAATCAGACAAAATGCAAAAAATTCAATCCCTACCTCTCTAACATTTTATTGTCATCTATTAAAAAAACCGACTGAAATCGAAAATTTACCTGCCTACTATAAGCAGGCAAATTTTTTTCTTAATACATGTTAATGGAAAAGTAACCCTGCCAGCTCTATCGGCATACATTAGTAAAGTAACACTGCGGGATGATAGGTAAACAGTAATCGAAACTCAAGCAGTGCAGGAGACTGTAATAAAATCGGTCATTTCGCCGGTTAGCACGTAGTCACAGTATTGTTCCAAAGGCACATACGTGTGAATTGTTACTATTACATTTTATTTTACGTATATGTACAAGCGTTGAGTGCTTAACACAGGCTTAGTAATGGGTCAGTAATAGTATTCATAAAATATAAAACAAATTGCCCTGAAAGGCTTATAACCGACATATTTTTTTATGTAAATTAAAATAGCAAACAATCTGATGCACGGCTCATATCATAGAAAATAGAATCCCATATGACAGAGAATTGTAATCTATGCCTAAATATATGAACAGTACTGTGTACTTGGATGTCACATGCGATGTATAAAATCTTGCAATTTCCCTTGGAAATTATCATAGTTAATTCTTGTTGAATGCATCAGAATAAATCAACTTTCATTCTTACCTATATAAAAAAAAGGGACATAGCAGGTAGATTTTTTTTTAAAAGAGGATAATAGAATGGTAACCTTGGCGACGCTATGGGTACACTTCGGGAATGAGAGATGAGAGGTAAGAATGAAAGAAGGTAGGTAGATGCTCAATACAGGTAATCTACTAAAATTTTTTTATGCAACTTAGAATGGCAAAAGGACTGACGGTTTATCTGATTGAAACTGGTTAAGTTTTTTTTAACGCTTACCCATGCATTTATTATTTATGTGTTTTTTAAGGAACGAGTATACGTGTAAAATAAACGTGTAAAATATTGTAAGTATGGTTTTTAAACATATAAAGCACCATGGATCTCAAAATATAGTCTATGATACCTCTCATCAATGTAACCATTACTCAAGACTTATTATGTCTCTGTGCTTTGTAATTTTTGTAATTACTTTGTAAATTAGAGAAATAGTTTCGCAAATGTTGATTTGTGTCTCATTTTTGTTCTATTCTTTTGAGAACAAGTTTTTAAAAGAAGACAAATTATTCACCTCGTCTTATTTAATCTATTAATAATTTAGGATTCCTAAATAGCTTGATTTCTATTTAAAGAACCTATATACATGATAATATAACTATTATTCCATCTGTTTTTACTGTGTCATTTTATAAACATGTTTTGTTATGTAAACAATTTTCGTCACGGTCGCAGCGCTGGTGATCATCTTGCTTACTTCATACATTATGGGGAAACTACCGTTGAGAGTAATGGTGAAGCAATGGTGGTTATCTTAGATATTGCAAATGGTATTTTACTCCTCAGCATAGACTCCTGTTCTGCAAAGCTTAAATTCGCCCACATATGGAGTACTGCTCATATCTTTGAGCAGGAGCACCTCAATGTCAACTCAAGCGGTTCGTGTAGTTGACTACCCCACGCTAACGGACGGTTCGGATTTCCTGAGTTTGAGGCGGGATGTTGCTTCTTTATTAATTTTATATCGTCTGTAAAATAGGTAGTGTTCCAGGAAATTGTATGACCTAATGCCATCGTCATCCTTTTACTATCGTATCTCTCACCATAGTCAACTCTATGGCTTCAGAGTTCACTCTCATTTCTTGAGTGCGCAGCACGCTACCACAGCCTATGCATCCCGTTTCTTCTATCTCGTACATCTAGGTTGTGGAATGAGCTCCCGTGTTCAGTTGTCCCTTTACAATATAATATGGGGCATTTTAAAAAACGTACCTACAAATATTTAAAAGACCGGCAACGCACAAGGAACTCTTCTCATGTTGCAGGTGTTCATGAGCAGTATGGCATGGCATGGGCAGCATGGACAGTAGTCGCTTTCCATCAGGTGTATTGTCTGATTGTTTGGTTCCTAACAATAAAAAAAAAAAAGCTAGCGATCTGCCTGATGGAAAGTGATAATCATCGCCCGGAGACATAAATAAGACCATGGACATCTCAGAATACACGGTGACGTCCTTTGGTATGATGATGCGTTAGTTAAAATATTTAATGGGTACATGTGCAAATAGGATTTTAAAGAATAGGTAACTACTTAATTTTAATATCGTATCTTAAAGATTGCAAAATAATTTTAGTCTAGACTACCTGATAATGATTTATAAACGATAACATTGTGACATTATATATATATATATATATATATATATATATATATATATATATATATATATATATATATATATATATATATATATATATATATATATATATATATGTTGCAGTTAAAACTCTTAACCAGTCAAAAGTACTTTTTACTGATTTTGCTAGTCAATAGTACTTTTGACTGGTTAACAGTCTATCTTTAGTAATATTGTTTCTAAATGAAGCTCTTTTTTTTCTAAATATGCTAACTGACCGCCTGATGGAGAGTACTGACTGTTTCATATAAATATGGACATAACGCCTAACGCCCATGAGAGGTACCATTAAGTGTTGCTATTTCTGAAGGTTGAGATCAAAAATTTAAATGCCATACCGAATTATTTACATTTATCATTAATAATATTAAAATTTCTAGAAAATAATATTTCTGATCAAGAATAACTTATTGAGTTGCGTCAAATGTAGGTGTAATGTTTTGTACGTTGTTTGTCGTTGCTGCCACGAGAACGAAATGCGTAGTAGGTATTCGAAAATAGCACAAAATTGTATTATTTTTATCTTATTTTTAAACCATTGTTGAGAAAAAATATGTTCATGACTATTTTTGAAATATTTGTTGTTACGGTAAATATTTATAAGGACTGACATGCCCACATTTCGCCGGGCATATTAGAATCCCAAGTAAGGCAAGGCAAGTTTACCTATCACTCGAATTTTATGGTTTGTTATTATTGTTTTACATTACGAAAGATTTAGTCAGAAATTTATTTTTAATTATCGCAGAAAGTTTTATAAATATGAAAGAGAGTTAATTTGTTATTTCTTGGTGCCTGATTTTCCAGTACTTTAGTGCTTTGGATAGAGAAACTGTTTTTGTCCTTCGTCATCTAAAGTACTATTGTACTATTTTCTCCCAGTCTTCATTTCATAATTTTGTCGATATATATAATATATTAACAAATATTCACATTCGTAGTAATTAATCTATCACGGTAACATGGCCAAAGCCATAAGTGAAAACTAGTATAAATATAATTAATAATAGATTTTTTAATAAGAAAGCATATTGTTCGATTTTTAAACAGAAAGTATTGAAACTCGAGCGGTGGCGGAGACGATAATAAAATCGGTCATTTCGCCGGTTAGCACGTAGTCACAGTATTGTTTCAAAGGTACGTACGTGTGAATTGTTCTTATTACATTTCATTTTACGTATATGTACAAGCGTTGAGCGCTTTTTACAGGGTTAGTAATGGGCCAGTAATAGTATTCATAAAATTAAACAAACCGCAATGAAGGGCATATAGTCGAATGAATGTGATTTTTTCATGTAAATTGGAATAGCAAACAAGCTGACGCACGGCCCATATGATAGAAAAGTATGCCTAAATATATGAACAGTACAATGGACTTGGGCGTAATAAGTAGCGTTCATTGTTATCAATGTATTATGATACACTGTGTCGGTCATGTTTCCCCTTACGTGTTGCCATTCCTGAGGATTAAGGTATTATATCTGCATACCTTGTTATTAAACTGTCATATATCTCATCCCACGCGGATTTTTTTGACATTTTAATTAAACGTTTAATATAATTTGATACTAATATTAAGTTAATTTTTTCATCGGACGTCATCAATAATTACAATATTATTGATTAGACCTTCTACATAAAACTACCATTTTTGTATAATACAAAGTACTAAATGACAAAATCCACAAAATTGAGGGAAAATTACAATAAATACATATAATAAATAATAAAGAAATTGAATGGTTATAAAATAAACTTCCTGCCGAGGTTTTTCCAAGAGACTATTATTGTAGGTGTTCATAGGCTGCGGTAACCGCTTACCATCAGGTGGGTCGTATGCTTCTATGCCACCTCAGTGGTATAAAAAAAGAAACCAAAAATCTTTTTCTTATTGTAAACTTAATATTATTTAACTAACTGCATAAACTTCTATTATTGTGTTAAATACGTTTCGGTACTTGTTGTCTATTTTATATAACATAAAAAATGTAACAAACTGTATGTGCCAAAATAAATTAAAAAAATATGTTACTATTAAACTTTTTATTGGATTTCATTAATTCGCAAAGTTACTTTTAGAATTCTCACAAAACCAGTAAATTTATATTTGTATTTTTTTAATATCTTGGTGTATAGTCAATCATACGAAGCAAGTATACCTACTGTTTACAAAACATATGTATATATAAATAAACATTTAAAACAGGAAATCAAGCTACTAATTAACTAGTATGTAAATGCATAGCAAAAACTAGAAGTCTGTTCGGTACTAAGTTTCCTTGTGTGACAAGCATCCATTGAGAGAGGTTATTTATGTACTTTAGGTTAATGGGTAAGTAAAAATAATACACGAATATCGAAATACATATTTTTATTAATGTTAAAATATATTTACACTTTATACAGTCTTATCTAATATTTATATTGATAACATCGCACTTTCGCTATCACCTTCAAATACAAACGTCAAATATATTCAAACGGTATGTGACAGGCCCTTCTAACGACTAAAAGTGGCAGCTGAGGTAAACAGACCACGAAGAAGATTGCGAAAGGACTAAAAAGTATACAAGCGCCCAACCACGCCATCAGAAACCAAGTAGGTAAAATCGCTTGCTCTAACATGGTTTCACTTTTTATTTGGGACAGTGGTTCATATTTCCAAACAATTCATAATTATAGCACGTAACAACTAATAATTGTTTTGTATCGTGTGCAGCCGCCGAGTGGAGCAGGCTCGCTGGCAGTGCGCGTTCGATTAGGAACGCCACCTGTAACAATTGCAAAGCAAACAACGTTAGTTTGTGGGATTGTAATTAAAATGTACGTACTTTGGGGGTTTTGTGGGAGTATTGAAACTTATTGATAGTGTTCTATATTAGAATAAATTCAACGTTATTCTTAGTGTTAGTGAAATAAAATCAGTTTCTAAAACTCCATACAATGTTATTGTCGTGTCAGCGGCGTTTGTTTGCCTCGGCTGTCACTTCTGACGAAATTTTAGGTTACAACACCAATTAATGATCTATCCGATGTTGTGAATAAAGTAAAAATACGGAATGTATGCGACTAAAAAAAGTTAAAAAGTATCTATTATTTAAAAGAGCCTTCTGAGTAAATATTGGGATAAATTATTATGCTTCATACTATGTCTTGAAAACTAATGTTTCAGTTTGATATTACAGCGAATTTATTGTTCTTTGGGCCAGTATAAACTCAACTTATTTAGAATTGAATCAGAACTACGTAACATTAAGTTCTCAGTGGTTTGTAACATAATATAGTTCCGCTCAACTATTAAACTAAAATTTTCGCCTCAAAATGGATTTTATTGAATAACGTACATAATTTTTAAAATAAGTATTTTGATGTGTTATCATCTACTTGTAAGTTTCTGTAGGTATAATGAAATGATATTATTGTAGTAAAAATTTATTATCTTTAAGTGAGTGACTGAGGCAGGTTAAGATAAGGACATTGGTGATATTTCATAGCCGGCTTGTACGACCATTTTATTGATAATTACAGTATTAATTATTTGATAAATCATCTATACTTTGACTTCTATACTACAGCTTTGAAAACACATCACAGTTGGTTATCGACAGTTTAGGTGTCATATATATACCTATACATATATATATAAATGAGTGTTTAATATGATAACCTCTCTTTTAACATAAAATTATAGTAGATATCTTTGTCATATTTTTATGTCAATGCATTTACACGCCTAGATAATTCTATTATTACATATACATATATACAGTTGCAGTATTATAGTTACTACAATACTGATATTTTTTAAAATGTAACTAAGTATGTATAACAATGATTCACAGGCTGGTATTAAGTATGTGTAATTACAGTCAAGGCAATACAAATATATGATATTAATGTTATAATAATAAAAACGCTAAAAAATATAAAAAACATAGAGTAAGAAGTGAATGTGTGTGTGCCCCGGCATAGAATGGGCCACTCCTTTCCTTTCCCGTGGGTGTCATAAGAGGCGACTAAGGGAGGGCGAAGGATAGGCAGCAGCGTCTTTCCTAAAACATCTCTAAAAACCTAATTGCGGTTGCCAACCCGCCTGCCAAGTGTGGCAACTACTGGCAAAACTCCCTTTATGGGGAAGGCTTATATCCAGTAGTGGACAGTTAACGGGTGGAATAATAAGAAGTGAATATAGTGATAAATATAGTATAGCTATAACCTTATATACTACTAGTATATTATATATTTTCATTGTTCGAAATGAATTAAATATGTTTCGCGTCAAAGTTCTTTGAGAAATGTTATGTATGAGTTTTGCATTACTCGGCATATCTATTTACTGTAATCTTAATCATATACTACTTGTATAAAAAAAAATATCAAATAATGTTAATTACCGACAATAAATAGATAATAATACCTAACTTATTGATATATTACCAGATTATATATAAATATTTAACTTAGACATTTAATTATTATCAGTGCGTATCAAATTATTTATTAATAGAATGCTATAACATTATTAAAATAATTTAAATAACTAGATTGAAACGCAATTTATTACTATTAATAAATTGCGTTTAAATCTAGTTCTAAGATCCCGCTGCTGACGTTTGTTCTTTACGTATAAAAATTTTGAATGAAACTAGGTTTGAATGAAAGATGAGAATATAATGCAATGCACCCGGGTAATCTGCTCTCAGTTAGTAACAACCGTAAGGTTTTTTAAATCACCATCATTATCATATTCCTATATTTTTATTTAATCCAAGATACGCCTATATTATATAAATTGATTTTAAAAATATATAATATATGATATGCAACATTTTAAAAATTCATTTATTAATTTTACATTAAATAAATTCGTTATAAAAATAAATTCATCATCATCATCATCATTTCAGCCATTATCCGTCCATTGCTGGACATAAGCCAGCCATAAAAACAAATTAGTTATTGACAATTAAACATTTCTATCAATAGTGTCCTATTGAAAACAAATAAATTCTGTTGAGAATTCGAGGCCAATAAGTTATGTAAATGTGGGCAAAACCCTACTCATATTTAATGTCATTTACGTTTATGACAGATAGCAACGCGGCAAATTACTGCATATTTCTGTAATTGGAAATTACATATTTCGATTTGGCTCAATTAATTTCGTGTTGTATTCAGCATTTCGTATGATACTAAGAACATTAGTAAGTATAAAGTATTATATTACGCAACTTTTCTATGGTTGTATAATTGTCTGTCTATTTGTACTTTTATCTGTATCCTCTCTGTCAACAACGGTTAAAACTGTATCTGTTGTTCATTCACTTAGAGCTTAATGAAAATGTGATCAAGTTTTGTTGAAATTATCATAGAAATACTCTTAGTTTATTTATTTACTTTTTATTGCAGCTCTAAAGAATAATACAAAAAATATATACGAGTACATTACAAATATCATAAAGTACAAAAGGCGGTTTTTATTGTTAAAGTAATCTCTTACAGACAACCTTTGGGTAGAGGAGAGGAGAAAAGAAAATAACGGTAGTTATTTTGCGCAAAAAGTGTAGCTAAAAAAAGTTTAGTTTGTTATTTTTTGACGCCATAACTGATTAATAAGCGTTATGACTATAACGCCGCAATTAATCATGCTATCATTTCTATCCTAGTCAGTTAATTTGAGTGTATCCCAGCGACATGAATTAAATTGTCAGCGATGTGTAGATATAATATAAATTAAAAAGTTTTAATTGGTTATATATTATTCGCTTTTACTCACGATTTCATCCGCGTGATCGAGATATCTTCAATGACTGGGATAAAAAGTAGCTTAAGTTTCTTTTTATCTGATGTCGGAATTCACATTTATAATATTAGTAAAAATGACTTAATTTGATAAGAAATTTATTTCATTATCATCTTCCTACCCTTATCCCAATTCTTATTTGGGATCGGTTTAATGTTTTTTATTCATATTGCAAAAATATTTGGTTTACGACAGGCCGCCTGTCTGACGTCAACCCTCATTGGAAATATATAACAAATTAATATGGAGTGCTAAATATAAATATTATACTATTAAATGCATATATTGACTATTATTTTTATTTTGGCACTAAATACAGTCTTTATAACAGTGCTTTTAATGTTTTGGCAGTGATTTGTTATCGATTATAACGCATCACGAATCACAGGAAATGGAGCGCAGCCAAAATTTGAGTGAAATGAATTCATTTCGGTTCAGTAGTGAGATTGCATCCCACGTGATATTTGTTTTTATTTCTGACGTAATCATTAGAATTAGCTGCATATTTATAGCATTCATCCTTGTTGATATGTATATAATAAAGAACTGAGTTTTCTCTGAGTATCCTCGCTTGCGTGTTGCAGCTGGCTATCGTCATAATTTCATCAGAAATTAACAATGGGTTCCAGGTGGATTGCATGGAGGTTGGAGGTTTATCTAACAGGGTACATTGCTAACAATATGATCTTTAATCCCCGTTGCTAATAACTTCAAATATCTCAGAGTTCTTATGTGTCAATATTCATTTTTAGAAAAACAGGGGTATCTGATATTAATAGACTTTAAAACAATTTCACTAAAGTTAATGGTTGGTGAAAAGATGGAGAGTTTTTTATGCTATGTGTCGTCGAGTATAAGTCGACGATATTTGCGGACGAAGAATATAATTAGCGGTAAAGGTAAATGACTGTTGAATGAACACAGAACAATGTCTGCTGAGTTTTACTAATTTATTTATATGAGAACTACCTGTGCCCTACAATTGTGCAAAATTTATAGGTTATAAATACTATCTTAGAAATATAACTTCATTAAAACAAATATTTACATAAAAATATACTATATATAGATTAGTACTACGGTTGGTTATATAACGGATGGGTCAAACTGTAAGTATGAGTATATCTTAACTCACTTGACCGAGTCTGATAAAACACCTATTAACAACAACGTAAATATACTATTTTAATATAGATAGAGAGTTCCAGATACAACAAATCGCCATTTCCAAGTCTTACGTTTATTTTCTTGTTGTTCTGCGAAATGTCATTGTCTCTTTGTTAACATGGACTAATTAAGTATATTCGCATCTGTCAATAAAGCTAAAAACATTCATACCCGAAATCTTTGATTCATATCGAATTATCTGCTTTATCTGTTAATTTTGTTGTAGAATAAAAAAAGGGGCAAAGATACAGAAGAGAAAATACCTTTGTCACTGAAGCAGAGATACCTACAATTAATTGTTGGAAGCAAGAAAAGACGAGAACTGAATTAAACTTACATCAATCAAGACTGAATTAAAAGAACTTGAAAGTAGATAACTTTGATAGATTGAGTTACGATGACAACAGGTAAACATTTAAAATATTTAAATACGGTCAAGGTAAGCGAACCAATTACCTTAATAGAAACGCGACTGACATCTATCTATAATACTTTATTATCAAGTCTTATAAAACTCAAAATGAAAAGGAATTGCTGAAAGTTCTATTAGTCTAGCTGACACGAAGAACAGCTGTAAATTTAGAACACAATTTAACGTTGAGTACTTACCTTATGTTGGAATAAGTGAAGTTTAAGCTGCACAATAAATTTTAACGTCGTATGACATTACGAGTATTTATTGCTCTAATGTAGGCAATACTTGCTTTTTACATTCGTATAACTTGTCGGAAATATGAATTTTATTTCGTGTCGTAATGGAGTAAGAATGTAATAAGTCACTATTACTTTAGAAATCCGCAAATGTCGTAAGAGTCGACTAAAGTAACAGCATAATACAAGCAAGAAAAAATTTTTAAACATAACCCTATAATAAGTCTCCCTCCTCCCTTTATTAAAAGAGATTAGTGAAATCAATAGAAGTTATAGTATGGAGTATGGTAGGTATTTAATTGGTGACGGTCATTTTTACAATTTGTATTGTTTGATATGGTGCCCACCGTTATTGCGTCACTCACCATCATCAAAAATATTGGGGGGAAAGGAATTGTTAGTAATGGAGACTGAGAATCCCATTGCTAGCAATATACCCAACCAGGTCGACCTCCTCGCGGTTCTCCCTGGAAACTATCATGGTTAATTCCTGATGAATTCATCATGATGGTCTAACTGGCCTGTTTTCATTCTCATCTATCACCCTTCACTGGTGCTCCGCAAGCGTATATCGTTAGCGCAGGCGGGGTTACCATACCATTTCTTACCCAACATCAAAAATATCATTTCCAAACTTTGGTACTGTAATAATGAGAACATATAGTAAGTTTAGATGAGTATCATCTCGTTTAAGTTAGAGAATGAGTTGTAAAGTTATTTTCGAAAGAGTACAACATGGAGATCTCCAAAAGGGTATTTTTAATGTAAACTATGTTCTTGTTGTTATGGTTTGAAGAATACAATTTTAATACACATGATGACAAAGTTTACTAATTTACAAATTCAAACTCGTATCTTGTTTGTGACCTAAAGCCCCATCACATTATTTGTAATGACCGTAACTGCAATAATCACCTAATGGTGACGATGAACGCCTGCTTTGTTTGGCTATTCAGGAGGAAAATCTTGTCATTAATATTTTAACGAGCGTGTACGGTTCAATGAATGTGACTATTCTCTGTATTTCTAGAGGGTTGTAAATAATATTGCTATATGGAATGGATTAAAATACATAAATGCTATTATTAAATAAGTAAACCTAACGTATATATTTTAATTGGACGTGACTTGTCGTCGTCGTCGTCTTTTTTCTAGTGTGTACTTAAAAAATTCACATGTTTTTATTTAATTTGTTTTCGTAAGAAGTAATAAACATAATATCTAAATTGGCTACATTTATAAATTTTATACTGAAAAAAAAATCTGGGAATACGAAGAACACATAATTGATTGCGAAACGATTGGCGCACTAAATTAGAATTTCCTTAAAGACCTTTATGTTATACTTTCAATACAAGAAATAAAAATAAATTGAATGTTCCTTGTTATCGTTTTAGAAAAGTCAGTATATCTTTCATGGGGCACTGTATAAGTTTTATAATAAACTTCCAGATAAGGTTTTATATTTAAACTAGCGACCCGCCCCGGGTGCACACTACATCACATCACATTAGAAACCTCTAAAATTATCAGTGTTTCTCTACTATATTATACATATAAACCTTCCTCTTGAATCACTCTATCTACTAAAAAGAACCGCATCAAATCCGTTTCGTAGTTTTAAAGATCTAAGCATACATAGGGACGGACAGATAGACAGCGACAGCGACTTTGTTTTATACTATGTAGTGAAGAAAGAAAATTTAAGATATATATAAAAAAAGATTCTCTGTACTCAAGCATATTATAAAATAAATGACCAATTAAATGACATATATTCATGGACTTGAACATTGTATCATTGTGAAGTTTATTGCAATTGCAACTATTGTAATTATTTTCCTGTTCTATTCTACTATTAATGACTATAAATTAATTTAAATCAATATTGTTTTATATAATAATAATTATAAAAATGACGTATAAGTTTGAAATAGATGTATATGTATAAAGATGTTTTGATCGATTGATTAATTGAACTCATAGGTGAGAAGACATACATTATTACAATTAATCTTTTGAAAACGTGCCTTCTAATGTGAAGAGTTTCTTAATCACTCGCTCACTCTTTGTGCTACATGAAGTCCTCTGACATTGCTTTCTGAACTATGACTACTTGCCCCTCAGCGGTACCAAGTTAGTTATACAATATGAATTTAAAATTAGAATTTACTATAATTTATTAGCATTTTTTAATACAGGATTATTAATAATAATCACGATTTTTTATTAAAATTTAATTTAAACTATAAATTATTGATAAATTAAATTTAAATGGCATCAAACAAGACTAGTAAGAAACAGAACAAGGTATAAGTGAGCCAGTAAAAGATGAATAAATCGTTTTAAGAAGCTTTTTAACTAATCAACGTTGATTTCCTATTTACATTAAAGTTTCGTAACAAAGGCCTTTAAGTATTGGTTGGCAGTGTAAAACACGCAATATATAAGGTTGTTTACCTTCAAATCTACGCATACCTATGTATATTCTCAATGGAGCTCTAATAACACTATACAAATATTGGTTGGCATTGGTATCGTTGTCCCAATACCGTATGACGTCAATTTAGCATATATTCATACTTTACATATCGATATCTTATCAAAATATTCAAACATGCAAAAAGGTATATATTACTGATATAACACATCTGGTGTCAGTCATTGGGTTTATTTATATAATATATAGTGAAACCCAATTTACTATGCGCCTTTAATATCAATATTATGAATCGAATAATCTGAAATGGTTTATAAGAGACGGGATGCATTCAATATGAAAATATAAAAGTTAATCATAATCTAAAATGGTCCCTGATTAAATTTAATCTATTGAAATGTAGTATATATTAGATATAGATAGCATGTAGACGGATAGTATATAGTATTCTTGTATGAAGATGACGGTAACCCTGCTATTACCGATATATCTACGAAAAAGTTTATAACTTTTAGGTATTTTTTACATTAAATAAACAAGCGTATAGTCCTCGATATACTAGTATAAAAATATCTAATATATCTAGGACTATATTATGGTATTTAGATTTAAAGCTCCGTTTAGCTTGTACTCTAGACAACTGTTAGACATTTATTTATATATATATATATATATATATATATATATATATATATATATATATATATATATATACTGTTTATAAATATTCCTCTCCATCCAAAGGTTGCCTGGAAGAGATCGCTTGTCATTGTGATTATTTATTGTAATTGTTTATATTTATAATAAATTTACTATTGTAATCTTTTAGAGGAAACAATAAAGAGTATCTATCTATCTATATACTGTTAAAAAATAATAACCATTAGAATTATAAATTTGCAACACTATTTGAGGCTAAAACCCTACTCAGTAATTATCCAAATTCTCAAGTGACATGATTCTACGATTAGACAACAGTAGGATTATGCTGTTAAACCTACAATCAATGTATGTGCAATCATTTTGACCGACAAACCATAATAATTGTTCTAGTTTATGTCAATAATACAAATCTAATGGACACTCATACACTGTGGTAATACTATGGTGGTAATACGTAATTGGCTGTAGTTGTAGCAAATTAATAAGCCTGTGGTAATGGAAACCAAACATAAACTAAAACTTCTTTATCACTATAATTTGGCCGGTCATTTCATATGACAAAACTATGACGGATCATGGAATTTCGCGCGTGATTTAACACGTTTCATTCGCTTCACTTGAATTGTTAGTAGTGGCGTAAGTGTAGTTTTCATATCGTTACGAAAAAGTTAAAAATGTTCATTTCATAAGACATGAAGTTTGGTAGTCTCATTGAAAGTTTACAGAATATTTATACGAAATATTAGCTGTTCCATCTGTGAAGTCATTCACATAACAACTCATTCTTCGTTTTCAGAAATTTTATAACAATGTGATGTTGATTCATCTTTCATGTTTACTTGTCACGCTCTATCTAGCCATTCTTAGAAATGTAAAGACTATTCTATTGCATTAAAACCATTTTCTTTGTTTCTTCAGATACAATCCACATTTTTGACGTCGGGTTTGAGAAAAGAAGGCAATGTTATTATCATTCGAAGCCAAAAAGATCTTTATAATATTTCTAGAAAAAAGACATCTACGTACATGAAAACGACTGGAGATAATGGATGTGTTTTTGTTTTGTATTAAATGGACAACTTAGTTATCTAAACATTTTTACCGAATAAATTTTCGTTATGAGGATTACGTACTTTTTCTCGAATAATGAAATTCTTCGAAACTTCTTCATTACCTATTTAGCTACTTCCTTAAACCGTTAAACTTTTGGAAATTGAACTTTATTGCCAGCGGCTGAATCTCAGCAGCTGTAGTCGTTGATATATATATGGATACGAATCTATATAATCTATTATATACTTATATATATAAATACATTTTTAGTATATAAATACCCGGTATTTATATATCCAAATATTTGTTAAAATACATATTGAATTTTATTGTGTGTAATATTGACATGCGAAACAAAGTCATGATAGGAATGTTACAGAATTTTGCGAATAATAAATAATAGAAACATATTTAATAGAAGCTAAAAGTTAATTTAATAAGCTTAAAAAATTTTTTTTTCTTGTACTAAGATGCACTAAAACACAGGTGCACCTAATAAATTTACAAAGGTAAAGCCGTATTCATTGTATCAAAGCTGTGAATCAATTTACTTAGCAATATATCTGTTCTTAAAATTTATCTTACTATAAGACTAAGTTTATAGTGCTATATACGAGTAGATACTAAATCATATTTAAAATAATAGTTATTATATACCTCCAAAACTCTACACTATTCCTTATGATCCGTTTATTTGGAGCAAGCTAATATATTACACACTTTACTTACTTATTTCTACGGCGTGAAGTTGTGAAACTATAGTTTTTTTCTGACATTACCCAATGGCAGACTATGACACCATCTAGTCATTATGGAAACGTAACATAGATTAAAGCAATTGACTATGTTGTATCTTTAATTGCTGAAGATAACAATAAACCTACATTTATTTGCAAAACTAACGAATATTATGTAAACAATTTAAAATAATATATAAAATAAAATATATTATGTATTAAAGTATACATCACAATTTTCTTTTTATTATTTGATGAAAGAAAAACAATAAGTATGATTTATTTATTTTCAATTTAAAAATAGAACGTATTCTTTACGATTATTATTTTCGACTTATTGATAATCTAATAGGCAAAATATTAAACATTTATTGACTTTAAGTATATTTGCTTGCAAGTTTGAAAGTAGTGTCAGAGAAAAAAAAAATAAGAAACACATATTTATTTTGATGATGTGCAGGGATGAAGATAGTATTATTACTTTGGTAAGAAAAGGAAAACCCAAGAAGAAATGGATGTACGGTGAAAAAAATTCATAGCTAAAAGGGAAGTAGATTCTGGGATGACTGCATATAGATATGAATGGAAGAGAAAAACATTACGCGGATCTCAAATGATATGGGAAAACTAAAGATAAAAAAATTACGAATTATGCATCCAATAACGGAAATATTAAATACACACACGACACATGACATATATCCAAGCGTTATTAATAGTAATTTTTTTAAATGGATTGTATAATGAATAGATTATATATAATATAATATATATACAAAATATTATGGAGTGTTACTGTTTATATAAAGAATTAACTTTTTTATACCATACATAAATAAGATAAAAATATGTATTTATTTATTACACCAGTCTTTTATTATTATGTTACTAAAATAATAGTAAGAAAAGGAAGGGTTAAAATTACTTACATCAACACACACTACACGTCTTTTATTCAAATAATTATTACACAATTAGCTTTTATCTGCGACTTCGTATGTGTGACCGGTGTATGTTTACTGACCGGGATAAAAAGTAGCCTATATAGAATATATATACCAAATTTCATAACGATTGGTTAAGCTGTTAAGGTAACAATTATAAAGCAGTAGGTAAATACTTAAAATTATTAAATTTATTGTGTTTGAAACAAAGGGATTGTGATATTATTACCTTATGATTCTCAAGTATGTAAGAATGTAAACCTCCATATAACACAATTTTTATACACTTTTATTTAATATTTATACACACATTACATAGCAACATAATAATTGCTTAAGAAAATAATAATAATAAATGCCAAAAGACGTGGAATGAATTTTACATCGAAACGGATAATGATTATGAATTCTACTTGTTTATTTCCAAATCGAGTATATCACGTAGGTAGTTACTTCCTAAGGATGACCAAGAACCGGTTATGTGACATTGACGTTTCGCTTGGACAGCGATGCTTGTGAGTCGCTCACATGCATTGGTGTCATCGGTTGTAAGGGCACGAATATTATTACGTTTAAAACTATAAGGATTTTTTTTTTAATTTTTACATAATTAATCTAATAATCTCATTACTTTTCTATTATTTGCGAATATGTGTGCATGGAGTTTAATTGTAAATTTTTCCACAACAAAACTTATTACTCAGAAAATGTGCTTATCCATTGTTGTCTTTATTCAGTTCTGTTCAAAATGTTAACTAAATATTTTTATTGTTATTTTCACACGGTTAAAGTTTCTACAGAATTTCACCCTTTTTTTTTTGTAGGAATTCTTTCTTTTTTTAAGTAGGTACACAAATAAACTGGCGGTATCCGCTACAAAGAATTGCACCCACGTGTTAGCAATGTAAACAAAGGTACTGACCGCAGCGAGAACGTCCTTTGATTGCACGTGAATACCTGTCCCGGAGTTATGTAACTCTATTCGTATTCCATTTTACAAATCACTGTCACTTCTGAAGCACAAAACAAATCTGGTCTATTTGTGTATGGTCCAACCACGAACTGATTTGCGAGAGCGGTGACGGCGCGCTGCACGCAACAAGGGTTTCGAAACCAGCGAGAGGTAAGCAAGCTAGTGGTTCGTCTCCTTCGCACATGGGCAATGGTCGACCGCCGCGTGAGACCGCTGCAGCTATGCAGCAGCCCGCCGGCCACCGGTCGACCTTCTAGATTTACCATTATTGCTAACATGCCAGTATTTTGCAATTACCCCTATAAATTCCCCTTTTGTACCATTTAATACTATGCTATTAACCAATTTATGTACATATTAGGTCATATCACTAAAATTATCAGATATTGCATAAACGTCTTTAGAACGGAGTAGATTCTCAATATTGAATGTTATTTCTGCTTCTTATACTTGAAATGTCGAAAGAATCAAGTAAAGGAACATTTTTTTAACTTAGAATAGCAAACAAGCTGACAGCCCTCCTGATGAAAAGTGGTAACCGTCGCCTATAGACATGAACAATACAATGGGCATAACAGAGTATACTGTTTCGCCCATGATACCCTCCATGCGTTGCTATTCCTGAGGATTCAGGTGTTATTCCTCTGTAGCCTGTAAATTCACTGCCATATCCTCCCCTTCAAACTGAAACACAGCTACGCAAACACAACTGTTTTACTGTAAAAACACGAATGGGACAGAGGTGCCCAAGCAGACATCTTTTGCACAGTCTCCTTCTGGTAGAACATAATACATAAGAGTAAAAGACAAAAAACTCAAAATAAAATCGTATATTGTTTCACATGACCAGCTTTGTATTAATTTTCAATTTATTGGAAGAAATCCGTGCGAAGTTATACCCAGTTATAGTAATTGGAAGTAAAGAAGTTGGTAATTAATTTACACTCCTTTAAGTCCCGTTAGCAAATTATAATAATTTAGGAATAAATATTATATTAATCTGATATAATAAAATAAGTTAATTATATTTTTTATTTTAGTATTTGTATGAATAGTTACCTAATATATGTCATTATTTTAGACTAATTTATTGAGTTTTGATATTTGGACAATTGTCATTTGGAGTAATTGTTTTTGTTTTTGTAAAATTATTCAATAAATTCTAAATTAAATAATTTCTATTTTTAAATTACACTGTATGTCAGTAATCTATTGTCTGATGCTTTCTAATATACAACAATATACACAATAGCAGGAATCCACAACAGTATGCAATTCAAAAATAGTTAAATTGTTTTAACGATATTTTGTATATGTTATTTTCACAAGGAAATAATTGTTTTTTAAAGATAAAAACTTAATTTTCTTATTTGGTATTAAAACGTAGAAGTTTTATGAGTTTTTATATTTAATTCAAATGTACAGTAATTTTTTTCCTTGTTAGCCGCACTAGGAAAATGAAGCTATCGACTGGATCGTTTCCTTTTGCTTTGCATTCACATAAGAAAGAAAAACACGGCACACGTCACCATCTTATTCTATTACATAGATTGCTAGCGATAAGAATTCCATCAATAGATTAATTTGCATTTTGTCTAGGTGAGCTGTGTAAAAACCTATTTTTAATCGATGATAACCAGTAAATTTAAATAATAATACATTTTAACAGTTACCATGTTAATTTTGTCACAAGTCGTTGTTTATATTTGCTTCTATTATTATAGCCTTGATTTAACATGTGTTTTGCCCTGAAAAGTAGGAAAGCCCACGGCTATGTTGTAAGTTTTAATCTGGCTGCTCATTTCTCTGAAGTTGCCGAAGTAATTCTTTGTTGTATTTTCTCTAAATATAGTGATACAATTTTATATCAAATTTCTCACATGAATGGCTAAAAGTAACTCTATGATAATTTTGAACATGTTTTGTATCTTATTTTTTATAGATCAATGATCCATATTGTGAATATTGACAATTATAATATAAGAAAAAATATAAATAGAATTGGATACGAAATTAAATAAGAGTTCAATATTAGTGTTAATAAAAATAGCTGGTATACAATAGCTGGTGTCAATAATATGCTATAATAACTGGGTATGTTTACAGGGGGCGTTTTAGTATAGTAAATAATAAGTTATACATATAGTAAATATAAAGATAAGTTAAATATTTTTTGTTGTATAAATTATATTGTGTTTACATACTTGTTTAGCTGTGTGTTTATGTTTTGATCATGCTGTGTACGCATATTTTTGGAGGGTTAGCTTGAACAAAATTTTATTGTACTGTATAAATTAATGTAACATTGTTAATTCTCTGTAATGTGTACCTATTGAAATAAAAAGAAAAAAATTTTGAAAACATTTCAAATAATAACAGCTTTGTAAAAACCTTAATGTTACTTCTTTTATAAAAAAAAAGACGCTAAGTGTAATATAGAAAAGGTTATGAAAAATATTTACTTTAGTTGTGTAAATAATCGAATAGTCGTGAACATGTATGATTCCGCACAAATACAAGTATTAATTAAATAGATTTGAATGTAATTTTGTAGAAATATAAATAATGTTGCAGATTAATATATATATATATATATATATATATATATATATATATATATATATATATATATGCTATAATTGTACTGACACCAACACTCATGTATGGAAGCGAATCATGGGTATGGCAGAAGAAGCATATATATATGCTGTACAGATGAGAGCTTTGAGAAGTATGTTGGTATTACTTTAAAAGATAGAGTAAGAAACAGTGTGATTAGAGAGAATGGACTGAAAGTCGATGTAGTGACCAAAATCGAAAAAGGAATGTTGCGTTGGTTTGGTCATTATATATAAAGAAGAATTACGAAAGAGATTTATCGAGCAAGAATGAATGGAGATGTCGGTAGGGGCCGCCCTAGACGGACGTATGTCGACCAAATAGACGACGTGAAGAAGGGCCAAATTAAAAGTACCCGTAACCGACGAGCGTGTATGACAAGATTGATGAATGTGGAAGAAGCGAAAGAGGTTTGTTTGAATATTTATATTGTTTCTGCCTACCCTAATGGGAGACAGGCGTGACAGATATGTATGTATGTATGTATATATATATATATTTAATCCCATTACAATTAAAACGTTCCTGTAGAAAAAATGCTGTATATATGTCAATTCCATATTATTTCATAGAACGTGTTATGTGAAAACAAAGTTGCAGGTGAAATTAAATGAATACATTCTCGTAGTACACAGAGTTAAGATAGATATGAAGTTTGTTACTGCTCGTCTTCCCTCAGGTACGTAAATACAATGAAATACAACTAGCATAAGTACAATATGTAGGTAGATAAGACAACAACTCACATCATCCATAAATACTCCTCATTGCTTTTGTTCGCTTGCCTTGGCAGGGATTCGAATTGTGTACCTGAAACAAGACAATATGCTGTTGTAGGAACATCAGCATTTTATATACGAAGCTTCATATTAAAAAAAAAAAATGTTTGTCAAGTGACTAGTATCCATGGTGTCAATTTTGCTTAGGGACTAGATAGTAGTTGTACATATTTATTTAAAATAAATTATAATAATGTAATTTTTGTGTACAATAAAGAAATATATTAAATAAATAAGGTCTACTCACAACTTCTGATAAAAAAATGATTAACAATAATAATCATAAGTTTTAATATTATATTAGTGAGAGAGATAGTATAAATCATATCTCAATGACTATTATTGAGATTTTATTGGTAATATTTTAAGTCCATTTAAACCACCTTTTTACAGCCATGATAAAGATATAGAGACGAAAATACAAAAGACTTCGGTTGTAAATTTATATTCGATTTATATTGCGGCAGCTCGTGTATTTTTAAAAAAGTTTGTTCTAATAAAGAAATATTGAAATCATTTATGTAAGTACAATGTGATGTTTATCTTAAGTTTCTTGGAATATAAAATTATGTTGTCTATTAAAAATAATTAAGGTCGAATATTCATTGCCAGTTAGACGATTATAATGCTTCAATGTTTCTACATTACTGCTGAAGGTTGTTTGTTCCTCGCGAATAAAAAATATTTCAAACGTAACTTATCTATGATTTTGTTCCACCAATGCTTCAATTTGAATAAAATTAGTACCTATCTACTTGGAATAAATACGGGAATATGTGTTTTATATTAATTTAATTACGATTTTGTATCGTAAACGAAATGACATTAATCGTTACAATTGAAATTGGAATTATCAAGCGGCTCAGAATTAATATCGCGTTTTGTCATATTTGACAATAGAGAATACAGGTTTTCCCTAGAGACTACAGTATGGGGGTTTTCAAAAAGGGTATGGTAAGATTTTTTTTAGGGTCGGCGATGCGTACGTGACACACCTAGTGTTGCAGGCGTCCGTAGGCTACAGGTAAAATATAACTGTAAATTTTTGCAAATAATTTTTGCTTTTTTGGTAAAGCGAGTTTATGTTGGTACCATGAACTTTGTTACTTTCACATATATATATATATATATATATATATATATATATATATATATATATATATATATATATATATATATAAATATTATCACATATTTAAAAAAGTATTCAATAAAATACAATCATACGTATTTATTTATTCGAATTGTTTATTTTTAAGTTTACCAGTTATAATAAAGGAATGGCCAGTACTCTAGTACACGATAGTCAAGTGTCTAGTTACTTGATATTTACTTTTCATGGTGAACCAGTAAACTGGTTCAAAATGAAATAACTTGGAAGCAATATTTAACATTTAAATGCGTAACTACGTCTAGTTTATACGTGAAATAATTTGAAAATGGAAATTATTAATAAAACTAATAAATAACCGTGTATATATGTAAATATATGAAAGAAATAGAATATGAGACTTAATATTGTATTCAAATAACTATATAAAATAAATTTATATACCTTTGATACTATTATAGTCTAAGTTCAAAAAAATCATCAAATGATAAATGTACAAGTAGTACATTTTTTGCAGTGAAATAAGCTGGCCAATGTACACGCAATTACTTTTTTTGTTTATTTTGTACTTTAGTCAGTAAAAAATTACCTATTTTAAAATAATATAATGAATGATGGTCATAATGGACAATTTAATTTTAATTTATTTATTATCATTATGTAATTATATACTATTTATAATTGTAGTTAAGAACAAAAAGCCATGCAGATATGTCAATTATCTAATTAATATAATTATAGATTGTGTACCAAAAAACCAACTTCAATTATTAAATCACTTATTTTGGTCTAAAAATTAAACTACTCATCTGATAGAACCGATAACATTTCTACGGGACCAATTTGTAAGTATATTATTTTGAATAAAAACAGAATTTTTCCATATTGGTATAGAACTGACGGAGCTATGAGATAACAACGAGTACAAAAAAAAAACAACCGCATAGAGAATATTCTTATTTTTGAATTCGGTTGAAAAACCAGAAATAACGATGGCAGACACTGACGCGGAATGGAATTAGCAAGTTTTATACGAAGCGTACGTACATTGCAACTAATCAAACATCACTTTTTTAAACATAATATTATATTATAAAATTGAGTCACCCGATAATCTGCATCGTATGGATTACATATTTATAGTTGGTGTAGACTACGTGTCAATACTGATGCATGGCAAATCATACATTTTCTCACTTATATGCGAAGGGGTTACATTTATATAGCTGAATTATAGGTGTACTAAGTTTAAAGTAAATATGACTAAAATGCCCTAAAACAGGTGCTATGCATTACGAAGACATTCGTATAATCATTTTCACCTTTACGTTCTTTTAACTTATTAATTTACATAATGTAATGCACCTAATGGTGACGTCCTTTATGCTGTTATTAATTAATGTTAGTTGATAGGAATTAGCTTTGATAATTTTTCAATTATATAAAAAATAAATATATAACACATTATTTATCAAAATTTGTTTTTTTCTTTATGAATGTAATTGAATTGAATTTAAATAGAATCGTCACTGATTTGGTATATCGTTATTATTGTAGTGATTATAAAAATATATTTATTCATTTATAATTTTAGTTATTTATTAATACCTAGTTAATTTATGACTTACCCGATTGATAACTCTGTGAAGCCGTAGAGCTGGTACTGTTTTCACTTTCTGTACGAGATCGTTGTGTAAACAAATTCCATGGATAATAACTTGAATACTGTGAATTATTTTGATTTTTCGTTGTACTTTTATTATTCGAATTCATATTTTTTAGTTAAATTATAATAATTAGCTTCTATATTTAATTGTAAATAAATAAATGAAATGACTCTAGCGCACGCCGACTGACAGTACAATAACAAACAAACCAAACACGCCAAACAGATGCCGGGTGTATTTAATGTTTTGAGCCGATCTTGTCCGAACGATCACGGAGACGGCCGAAATAGTATTTAGTATGAACGGTAACATCAACTTGGACTTATAACTATTGGTGATCTGTAACAAAGAAAACAGAATAATGGCTCGCTTCTATTATCATACATTTAAAACATTCATTGTGGTGCATAGAACAAAGTAAAATTGGATTTATTAGACAATTATTGTTCTTATTCATTATATAAACATTAAACTATATGAGTAGTAATTTTTTATATTATTTTGTTTAGTTTCAACAAAACTAATTGTAATGCCATTTTTCTGATATAATAGGAATAGGTGTGTAATGGGGGTGGGGGGAAGGGGAGGGATTATTAGTAACGCGGACTACCTGTCCTATTGCTAGCAATATACCTTATCAGGTCAACCTCCACATGGTCCTGGAAACCATGTTGCTGAAAACCTGGTTTATTCATCACCAGGGGCTAACTGATCTGCCTTTTAGTTCTCACTTATCATCCCTCACTGGTGAGCCGCCAGCGTATACTGTTAGCGCAGCCAGGGTTACCAGTTCATTATCATCCATTAAAAAAAAATAGGTATGTAACGTATAGGTTAGGTATTATGAAAGTTATAGTTTTTAATTATATCTTTCAGGCATAGGCTTTTTTTATCGCAAGTATTATTTCATATATATATAGACTGATAAATAACATAATAAAATTTATTAGAACTTATTACGTTATAATAAATAAAATGTATGTACTAAAATCAGTTATAATAAACATATATCGCGATATAAAATAATAATATAGACTGTCTGGAGCGTTAGAATTACCTATTTATCTCGTTACATGAAAGAAAATGAAACAATAGTATAAATATAAAGTAGACACGTTTCTGATTGTAATTACCTAAGTAAATACAATTATAATAATATAAATGTCGCAATTATATCTTTTCCTTTCAGTTATTATCAGTGTTTAAAAATAATAAAAAAGGATATTTTATTGATATTAACTAACCTTCATAAACAAATAAAAAAGAAAAACAAACATCTAAATACATCTGTCAAAATATTTCTATAAACCTTGAAATAATTAATCAATTACAAAAAAATACATTATATTTCAATCTTACGAAGAAAGCAAAGAATAAAAATGAAAATTCCATATTTAGTATCGCAAAATGTACGCGAAACATACGCCACATCTGCGGCTATGAAAAACTCGATTGCTGAAGTTCCTCGCAAAATAGTGGCGGAAGATTTCGAATGGGATGATGATCTCACACCTGCGCCGCTCGCGTATTATGCTGCCCTTGTTCTGTCGAGAATATTCCACAGAATTAACCCTTTGAAGCAAATCCTACAAAAAGACATCGACATATTGATGGATTTATACCCTGCAGACATACCCTTGAAGTACAGCGTTCGCTATATTAAGGTTATTTTTATTTATTACTATAAGCCAAGAAATCTATGCTTCTTATTTCACACGGAGTTTTAAATCAATATCGCAATGTGTATACTCAAAAATACTGAAACTGCTTAAGGGATTTGATTGAAATTTAGCACATCTAAAGACTATATTTTGCAATGAATAAATACTGTTGATCTTCTCTATTTAATTTATACAGATAAAGCCGTGAAATATATTTAATCATATTATTAAACTTACGTTAGCTACCGAATTTATTTATTGTGTGGGCGAAACAAGTGATGGATAGAAGGTGATTTGTACTTAATTCGCTCTACTTGCTCCGTTAAAGCTGATGAAATATGTTATATAATTTAAAATAAAATAATAATTTAATATATTATATTTAAATAATTTAAAATACAATTGTTTTCTTTTTTTACATTAATTAAAATAGAAAGGAAGCTGTCTATAAACATTTAAATCAATCGTTCCAACAACTAACTAGATAGTTCTTGGTTGAATTACTTGTTTGGATTATTCAGGATGAACAATATTGGAAAAGATCATTTTTTACCAAGTTCCCTTCTAGAAAAGAACTTGGGGTCACATTTTGGAAAGGAGCATATTTATCTACATGCCTACAAAATTATTTAGAAAACGTAAACCCGGATGTGTTTATCGAGGAAGATGCTGTTGAGCTTGCAGCATTGGTAGGTTAGACATTTTTTATTATTGAAATTGGTTTATCCATATGGTTTATGTAATTTTTTATTATGATTACCTTTCACTTCTTAGCTTTATTTTATTTATATTTGTGTTATTAGTTTTTAGCCGCTGAAAATTTCTTTAATAACAGATTATGGATGTGATGTTTATTAGTGCTAAATAGAGCTATTTCTAAGTATATTTTATTATTTTTACGTAAAAAACACAGCATATGAGCATACAGACCTAATAGTAAGTGTTTATCGTAACTTATTGGCACCAACCACAGGGTATACAATTTTTTTAAATTGTCTTCTTGAATGTCGTATTTATATAGAAAAGATTAAAAAATATATATAAAATGTAATCTAGTGGCTATTATTGGAAGAAGGTATTATATGCCGTATGGTCCCGGCATAGACTGAGCCATCCCTTCCTGTCCAGTAGGTATCGTAAGAAGCGATTAACGGAAATTAATGATCGTGAGATAAGAATCAGCGCTCCTCTTAAAACATCATTTAATCCTATTTGCGGTTGCCAATCCACCAGCCAAGCATGACAACTACTGGCAAGAACCCTCAATAGCCCCCTATGGGAAAGGAAAGGGGAAAGGCTATGTTCAACAGTGGACAGATAACGGCTGATATAGTAATATAAAAAAAAACTTTACAAAATTAATAAAATATATTATAAAATGATTATATATTTCTTAGGTCAGTCCCTATATCTATTTTTTGGGGCTAAAACAGCTACAAATGGTACGTCAACAAACACCACCAATTTCTAATAAGAATGTGATTGAGGACACGTGTTTATTTAGTGTCCCTAGAGTATTCGATCATATACCTTTGGAGCCAGTTTTGGTTAAATTGTATAATCTCCAAGAAATATCTCTAGTTTTTGGCATCAATAACCTCGAAGACAATTATTTAACGAGATACTTCGAGTTTTCTATAAGCGATTGTGAATCACTTTGTAGAGGACTTGAAGATTTGAGACACTTGAGAGTATTCCGTATCAATCGCAGCAACTTGGATTGTTCGAAAGTAAAATTAATTTTACAAAGCTTGGTTAAGAAAGAATCTATTGAAGAGTTGGACTTTAATCATTGTAAGATTGGCGATTACGGAATGAAAGCACTGGGTGGTTTTATTTACGTGCATAATAATGTGAAGATAGTGAGAATTGCTAACAACCGTTTCAAGGAAGTTGGGGTACAGGGTATCGCTTACGCTTTACAAATGAAGCCCGCTGCTCCTATAGAGCTACTAGGTATTGGTTTACATCTACTCTACTATATTGTTAAGTTTTGAAAGTGTATTTTATTTTATACTCGTATATATAGATTTCAGTTTGAATCCGATGTCTATAGAATGTGCGACGATGTTTGCTGCGGCGTTTGTCCGTTGTAAAGAGAAACCTCAGACGTTGATTGTAAATTCATGCGGATTTTACGGTGCTTCAGCGGAAAAGGTTAAGATGTTATTTTTTATACTAGGCGTATTTTTTTTTATGGGTGAAAATGGTATAGTAACCTCGCCTGCGCTAATGGGATACGCTGGCGGAGTACCAGTGAAGGGTGATAGATGAAAATGAAAACAGGCCAGTTAGCCCATCATGATGAATTTATCAGGAATTAACCATGATAGATTCCAGGGAGGACCGCGAGGAAGTCGACCTGGTTGGGTATATTGCTAGCAATGGGATTCTCAGTCTCCATTACTAACAATCCCTTTCCCCCCTATTAAGCGTATTGCAGATGTTGTCCCGGTATAGAATTGGCAACCTCTTCCTTTCTTGTGGGTATCGGAAGAGGAGATTAAGGGAACTTAATGGTCAAGGGATGGGCAGTATCGTACCTTTTAAAAGATCACTAAAACCTAACTGCAATTGCCAACCCGCCTGCCAAGCGTGGTAATTACTGGCGTAACCTCCCCTTATGGGGAGATCTATGTTCAACATTAGATAGTTAACGGCTGATATAATGCTTGCAAATGTTATTAAAAGAAAATTCTTAATTTAAATTGTAATCCACTTAACTCTAGAAATAAATCAATAGATAACTGATTATTTAATATCAAACAATAATTTATATACTTCAGTAAAGATATTGGGATAATACGTTTTATGAGCGCTTTATCAGGATTTATATAATAGGTACTCAATTAAGTTAAATTTGTTGTTTATTTTATATGTGTTTTTATATATGTTTTTTGAGTACTATTTAGATGGCTGGTCTTCTAAGTTTGAATCGAGGTCTGACTAGATTAGATATAGCGGCGAATGATTTATCTGGTGAAGCAGAAAGAACGCTTATTCGTGCCCTTGAACAAAATAAAAAGGTTCTCAGGATTGATTTGCGCAGAACTCGTAAGTATAGTAAAAAGCCATCTATTTTTATACACGGTAGGACAAACATTCACTATAATTATATATTCACTATAATTATATACTATGTGTCGACTTCGTTCTTTGAATTCTCATTGTACTAGCTATATGCAATTACGTGCTATATTTTTTTTTTACTATAAATGTGACATTGCTGATTTTTCTTTTTATATAATTTTTTTTCTTATATAATTGTTAAATTGTATACCTCGATAGATAGGATTGATCATAGAGGACTTATATTGTTTTACCATCCATTGTTACCTATGTATCACAAAATAAATAAATAAATAAAAATATAAATAAATAAATAAATATATTTCGTGAATTGATCATCATCATCATTATATAAGTCGTTAACTGTCCACTACTGAATACAGGTCTCTCCTTTAGACTGTCATAAGGAACGATTCCGAGCCATATGCATTCACTGACAGTGCATTTGAGGTCGCCCCTCTATCTAGTTGGGGTCGTCTTACACTGCGTTTGCCTGTACGAGGTCGTTACTCTCAAACTTTTATTCCCATCAGTTGTTGGTTATTTGAGCTATGTAACTAGCCCACTGCCGCTTTAGCTTGCTTATCCTTCGTGAATAATTAAAAATATTTTATAATTGTGAATTCACATAGAGAAAGTTTATTATTAATAAGTATTCAAATCCAGTCATGCTCATTATAATAATTTATTTCAGACATATCCGAGGAAACTCAAGCAAAGGTTGATGAATTGTTAGAGCGCAACATAAACTTGGTCGGGCAAGAGTTGGAGCCTAGCGATGAAATTCCACCACTGTACCTTAACGAGCCAGAGTACCTTGTCTGGGAGTATAATCCCAATAATCCTGATTATATACCTGGACGGTACCCTGAGAGAATCCCCGAAGTTTAAGCAAAAACATTTTCTGTCACTCTTATCAATGTTAACTAAATGTGAAAAATTGTAATTAATAAATTATATGTACTACAACATTTTGGATATCTTAATTATTTTAAGTCCAAGAGGATATATGTAGAGAGAGGAGATAGATTAACGTAATAAGACGATGTTGTCTAGGTAATCTAATATAGGTAGATACTATCCGAGTTACACTTAATTACCTTTTTTTAATGATACTTGGAATAACAATACCTAATATAATATTATAATATCTGTCACAATACTTAATAAATAGAAATATTTATAGCATGTAAAATCTCATATAATTTTACAGTAATTCGTCATTTAAATTTTAAAAGTACCACATCAGCAAGTAATGATTCAGAATGATATGTCAGTAAATTATGAAACCGGGTCACCATTTATGCAATCCAAATCCAGGTTCGTTGCTGCGCTAACGCTTAACGGCATGACAGGCCATTAAACCTTTAACAGTTAAATTACTTAATTACAATGTACTTTATACGTTACAATGTTTTTCGACGTCTATTGATTTTTTTTTTATTTAAAATAAAATTTCTAATATAAAAAGAATAGAAAAAATAGAATTAATAAACAATATCACGGAATCAGGTCGGTAATTTTGAAATGGTTAGTGTGGGAATTGATATAAATAACTTTTAATTTGTAACTTCAACGCAAGTATTTTGTAATTTCTTCATATACCTAAATTGATATATTTTTGTCTTTTATTTTTATGTCTATGTGAATATAACCTACCATAAAAAGTTTTTTATGGATTTAGAATAATAAACAAAATGACAGATTGTGGAAAATGACAACCATCACCAAAGACATGAAAAATATCATAAATATCATAAAAATACCCTTCATTCATTGCTATTCCTGAAGAGATTATGTTATAGGTTAAGTGCTTATAAATCCTATTTTTTTTTCATTTTAATTTTTCTATTTTATTTTATTCCAATTTGAATTATTAATGTATATAATACCTAGATAGATGAATGTGATACGAATTACATGTAGGTACATTAAATTCAATGCTGGATGTAAAATTTGTTCACCCGTAAGGCTAGGTAATTAATATTTGACATGGGTTGACCCGTCTAAAGTAGCCCAACTTGGATTATATAGTTCACGATAGGTGTATCGATTAGTAATTACAATGTGCTGACTCTTGTTTCCTTTATATTATTACTAGAATAATAATGAATAATAAAATTAACTTATTATTTTATTCAGTTTACTGCTAATTATAAAGTATGTTTACTTGTAAAAAAAATTATTTATTTAATCGACTAGATGAGCTTTATACTTTCTTAATATGCTATATATACAATACATAGTATAAATATTTAATTATTCATTTTTATAAGCATATGCACAGACACAACGAGGATTTATTTAGGAGGATATTAAAAAAAAACAATAAATACAAATTTTTCTTATTAGATTGACCCATTATCATTAGATAAATCGTCGCATATAGACATGAATAAGACAGAATGACTACATAAATATCATAGAATACGCTCCTCATGATACTTTTCATATATTAATTTTCAAGTACTAAATGTTGTCTTATTAAATGGGTACTTAACCCAGTTATTTAACAACTACACCCCACCTTCTCATTCATAGAAACGCAGCTATACAAGCACAGCTGTGTAGCAGTAACAACAGAGCAGAGATTGTCACGTTGCATTGTCGTCTTAGTCTTCGTTTTCCTTCGTCATTTTTTTCTGTTGTATGTATGCTGTTAAGTATGTGTATGTTATGTATATATTTAATTGTGTATATATTATATATGTATGTGTATATATTGTATGCTATATATGTTTGTATATGTATCCTACTCTTTGTCTTTTTCATAGTCTGGAAGAGATCTTAGCCCGCCTTTTGTATCACTTCTCATTAATATTTACCACTGCAATGATGCTATATACCTCATTCTATCATTAGATAAATCGTCGCATATAGACATGAATAAGACAGAATAATCTCTCACAGCTGTAGGAACCTCATTCTACAACCTAAGCGTTCTCAGGAGGAAACGCCTCTGAAACTGTACTAAAGGCGACTGTTAAGTTCTAGCAAGTGGCGATGAATTCCCTGACGATAGTGTGTGGTGCGGTGATAGAAGATAATCATAGACATTATCTCAAAGAACTCTTCAGGAGGTACATAATCTATTATACAAGCGATATAAATAATGTAAATTATAATAGTGTTATGAAATTTGTATTTACGCGTATGAAATTTCAATAACATATTTACTTAGGTACGTCTCTATAATTGTTTAATAGTAAAGTACTTTCAACATGATTCGCATATTGTTTGCTATATTTTTTTCTATGAGTTTATATACAATTTGAAACAGAAGGCAGCACTAATGTTAAATTAATGACCATAACTTTAGCGAGGGCACACTGACGAGGACCTAATATTTTCGGTGTTGTTTCGTCTCATGAATATATTCTGTTGCTTATTTTATTCCCAGTATTATTCATGGATTGATGAAAATGTAATTTTTGCGTAAGGCCTATCCGAATAAAGCGGCTATTCATTGATCAAAAGGTACAAATTGTAGGTTGCCCGTCGAATGAAATTATTTAATGTGAATTGAAAAATCATTCAGATTTATTTATTACCTATTTATTATTTTAAAGACTTAGTTTGAATAATGTTTCTTTTTGGATATATATGTATTTTTATTAGTTTTTGGAAATTGGAAAATTTATGAAATGAAATAGGTATGGAGGTACTAAGGTTTTTTTTTATGGGTAATAATGGAATGGTAACCTCGCAAGCGCTAACAATTAACTTTGGCGGTGTACTGGTTAGGGATAATGGGTATAGACGGAGAGGCAAGTCAGTTAGCCCGTCGTAATAAATTCATCTGGAATTAAGCACTATGATTTCCATGAGGGACCGTGAGGAGGTCGACCTGTCAGTATACTGTTAGTAATGCGGTTAAAAATCCCCATTACTATCTCTTCGCCGCAGGTACTAACTTTGGAAATTTTGAATGACATTATACTATTAGTTCATAATATCTACTGCTGGGGGAAAGGGACTGTTAGTAATACGGACTATCACCATCTCATCATTCACTAGTGCTCTGCCAGCGTATACTGTTAGCGCAGGCGGGGTTACCATTACATTATCATTTATTAAAAAAAAATTATCCTGCTGAATAAAAATAATGCATATATTTTTATTGAATGGAATTGGCGACACATTAGAAAAGATAGGTAGGTAACCTATTGTGTATAGACTCTATTTTGGTAATAACAAATGATGTTTTGCGCAATTTCATTACGATAAATGAACATAACGGATCAGACGCTAATTCACCGTGAACTACTCGACCAACATGCTAAAAATAACTTTCTTCGAAATTAACAGCGATTCTAGGAAAATAAACTTTTTTTGGGATAAATTCATACTAAACATTTAGTTATTTCTTTCTGATATAATAAACTTGTATAATAAACTACTTATATGAAATATGTAGAAATCTTAATGAAAGCAAAAACTATTCTTTTTATAATTTTGTCTGTCTATAGTCACCTAATTGGATGCGGGTTTCACAGTTATATTTCTAAAGGTCCCATCTGAAATCCAGTGTATATTTTATTATTCATATTTGTATATATGTTGTATACAATAACTAGTACAGGATGAAAAATAATTTAAAATGTCCAAAGCAAAATATGACAGCACCAAAATTGACTGAAAATAAAATTATAAATGACCCAGAGTTGATTATTGGAGTGTACAAAAACCAAGTAAAGCATTCAAACTGAAAACTATTATCAAGTCGGTTAAAAGTCCGACACTCGGTGGTAGTAATCAATGAAGAGATCTCGGAGAAAATCGATAAAAAAGTGGTTAGCTGACACTATGCTACAAAGCTGGATAGACATCTCGAGAGGCCTTTTGTAACCGACCGACTAGGGAGAGATGTGAGTGGATAGGCCTGTACTAATAGTGCAATTGACCCAACCGCTATATTGTAACTCGAGGCGCAGTTCGAGTTCTTATTTCGGATACTGTAGATAAAAATATACTGTCACTTAGTTTCGAGTGTTTGAGAAACTTTGAAACTAGCGTTTTCTTCATAATGTGTTTGACAACGATAGGCCGCCCCCAACTGCGTTGAGTTCTCAACGAAATGTAGAAAAGTCGAAAAAGTCGTAGGACTTTTATGTTGTTTAGTTTTAGTAGATCAGTAACTTATGAGATCAGAACAGTTGTGACTTTTTTTACATGATCTTATTAAATAAAAATTGATCTTAATAGTAATTACATATTCCCAAAGTAATCCTTACTAAGATTATAAATGTAAAAGTGAGTTTGTTTGTTACCTTATAGCGCTTTAACGGCTTAACCAATCACTATGAAGTTTGGTATACAAGTACAACATGGGATGTAGAAGGATACTTATAGAATACTATTTATTTTGACTAATAAACATATCCCGGTCGGGGGGGAAAGGGATTGTTAGTAATGGAGATTGAGAATCCCATTGTTAGCAATATGCCCAACCAGGTCGACCTCCTCGCGGTTCCCCCTGGAAATTATCATGGTTAATTCCTGATGAATTCATCATGATGGGCTAACTGGCCTGTTTTCATTCTCATCTATCACCCTACACTGGTGCTCCGCCAGCATATCCCGTTAGCGCAGGCGGGGTTACCATAACATTTTACCCATAAAAAAAAACATATCCCTGTCACGCCGACGAAGTTGTGGATAAAAGCTAGTACGTAATTACGAGAGAGTTCTTGTATAGAACTCTAACTAACTAACTAACTGAAACTTTTTTATATCATAAATAGTCATATAAGCTGAGAAGTCACTTGATGGAAAATTGTCACAGTTACCTATTGGCATATACAGCCTCATAGATATTATAGAATACACCATAATACCCATAGTACCCTTATGCGTTACTATTCACTCAAATTGTATTGAAAACATAGCTCTGTAAAGCATTTAAAGCATATTTAAAGTAATAAAGCATTTGCTAATGCGAATGTACTAACATAATAAAAAAGTTATAAGAAACAGAAATTAGTATTTTGTTACGTTTTATTTCTTAGATATAAGAAAAACTTGTTTTAGCTGTCAATTTTGCATTCCAAATGATACCAACGTTTATGAGTAGTGCCATAATAGACAATACTGGCTCTTGCCAAATTTTATAAATAAATATTTATACATATATCCTATTAATATTATAAATACGAAAATTTGTAACTATGTGGATGGAAGTTTGTTACTCTTTCATGCAAAAACTACTGGTCGGATTTGAACGAAATTTGGCACATTACTTACTACTTATACTATAACACAGCAAATAGGATACTTTATGGCAGTACATACCAGTGAATTAGTGTTCACGGGGGTAAAACCGCGGAATACAGGTAGTATTTGAACATCATCATCATTATCTCAGCCATTATCTGTCCATTGTTAGACATTGGCCTCCTCCATAGATTGCCACAAG